TACATACATACATACAGACAGACAGACAGACAGACAGACAGACAGACAGACAGACAGACAGACACACACACACACAAACACACACACACACACACACACAAACACACACACACACACACCCTATGTGCGTGCATGTGTGTGTATAATACACAAACATGCATTGGGCCTATAGCTTTAGCTAATATTTTATATAAAATATTAAGATAACTGATATAATAATTATATAATATAATGGGTGAGGTGAAAAAAAATCACGTTTAATTTTTTTTTTTTAATCAGGCACTACTACATCTAGATCTAGTCCGTAACTTACAATAGTATTCGTAGATTAAGAAGACCCCTATCTGATTGTTTGTCTGCTGTCTATTTAAGGGTATTTTTTTGGAAAGCTGGTTGTTTTGTTTTTGCATTAAAATTTACTCAAAGGGATAATTTCAAAGTGAAAATGCTATGAATATAATAGGTGCTTTCTTTTTTCAAATTGTTATTTTTCAATCAGACAGCACGATATTCATCAGTCATCAGATGAGGAACCAATCTGGTTTAACCATTCAAACAAAGAGTTAAAGATTAAAGGGGGGGGGGGACTACACCTGAAGGCTCTCTCGCTTATTACTAGACAAGATTTTACCAATTTTCACACATATAACAAGCATAGTAGGGAGTCTTAAAATCCGCAATCAAATTTTAGAAGAAAAAAATTTCGTTTTCATGGATAGGGCGGCCATATTGGATTTTGTTGACATGTTTTACGTAATTAATTCCGTACTTATTGCAAATGGAAATTGATTGTTTGTTTTTTTTGCATGCGTGTTACCAAACATTAGATCTAAAAAAAATTCTGTTGTTTATTTCCTAAACGATTTAGAATTTTTTTTAATGAATTTCTTTCTGAGGTAGCATTCAAGTTTGCAAAAAATCCACACTAAAGACACCACCAAAAAAAAATCTATTCCTTATATCAAAATTTCAAATATCAAATGTTTAGTATTACATGTTCTCTTCATTCTCGGAAAATGTCATGATGATTGGAAAAAAAATCGTGGAGTTGTTCAAAAAAATATAGAGGATAGTCGCGTTTCGAGAAAACGGCCGATAAAGAAAAATAAAATATTGACTTTATGAGGAAATGGTGGTGACAAACATGCCCGGTATGGGAAAAAATACAGTTTTGTGGGGTTCCTATGCAATGAAATAGTTGTAGGAGAAGCTGAGGAAGCTAAAATGCCTACAACTCAAATTCCATATTTTTTAGCCGAATCTTGACTTTGGGGGTGTAGCCCCCCCCCCTTCCCCCC